TGTCGCCTTCCTACTTCAAGTTCAAAAACAGTGGACACCCTAAGCTTCAAGAGCACTGTGGTGTGACCCTACATTGAGAACAGATGAGTGAACAAATGAGAGATACGAGTTGGATGAGGAAAAGTACCTACAGAATCCACGACCGTAATATCGCAATGGCTACGGGAGCTGATCAGGGCATGAAAAAGTCGAGAGCAAGGCACACACCTCCTTCCAAGTAAGTGGGCGGTTGAACAATCCTTCCGAACCGGTCTACGTAACCCCACAAGATCTTGGGTAGAGAAAGGTGAATTAGAATAATGATGTGTTTATTCTTCTGAGCATCTGGGGAAGGACGTCATAGAAATAACGAAAGAATAAGCACCACACACCGCGAAATAACCCGATCCATAATCCCGTGCCGATTTCTTCTTAGCATCGCTATGTCTGTTTTCTGTCTTATTCTCTGTAAATCAAGACTCGGCGCCGCGGTGAAGAAGAGGGGATGGCCCGCCGCGGACACTATCATGAAACTTCGGTCATCGTCTCATTTCCTCGCTCGTCAACCACAGCCCTGCACACCATGGTATTGTCCAAGCAACAACCCATCAAAAAACGAGTAACAAGAGTCGCAAAAGCAAGCTCGCTTTGATTGGCTGGTAGGCATAACGGTAAACGAGGTGCATGAGAGCTAGACCCACCGGAACCAACAAACAGCAATAACCGAGTCGCTGGTGTTTTACCTTGCTGTCCCGTTTGGGTTTGCCGGCATTTTCCGGTTTCCCTTCTTTGAAGAAACAAAGGGTCCTGTTTTCCTTTGAAACTGTATCCTAACTATGGTCCCCCACAGGACGAACTCGAACAATAAATCGAACATCTCAAAGCCAAGCTAGCGAAGAAATATTCCTCCTCCTCAAAACTAAGCGACACATCGCCGATACGCCGTGTTCGGGCCTCCACTTCGAGCCTCGCAAGCCAGAGTGCGAGTGTTGTTTGTGAGATCTGCGAACAACCGGGGAATGATATCTTCAGCTGTGATTTTTTGAAGCGCAACGCGCCATCTCCGGCTCCCATCAATAGTATAGGGAGCGCGCTGAATGGGAACGGGAATGCGGCGGACAAGAGCCTATTCTGCGAGGACTGCGAAAGTTATGGACACCTTCCAGTGGACTTCCCACGTCCTATGGATGTCTTTTGATGTATACTACATATGTTTCCCTTTCCATCTTGATACCCATCCACATTCATTTTTTCCCCCTCTCTCACTATCTCATTTCCACGTGTATCACAATATCATACTCTCGCTTGTCGACTTGGAGATTTCCTGTATGCTTTTGTTACGGATATTCTATTTTCTCTCTTCTGCGCATTCTTTCCCCTGCCTCTGTTTTTTTCTAAGTTATAGGTATCTTTCTGTATACTCACCAGGTACATACTAGAGCGATAATCAAAAATAAATAAGGATTTGGGTACGCCAGTTCGCAAGTCGCTCGAGTTTCCTTTTTTCTGACCCTTCCTCTCTAGAGCTATCTGACGAATCGAGAAATAAAAAGATAGTCTTCAATCCTCGGCTCAAGTCGCAGAGTCGCTAGTTCTTGACCCGAGTCCTCGAGTTCGGGCTCAAATTCATCGAATTTCTAGCCAAAAGCCGGGACTCGACAACACCCCCGAGAATATGCATTGCCTCCATGGTCTGTTCCCACGTACTGTTCACCATCTAACACTGGTCGTTATCTCTCTCCTTTTCAGTATTTTACAATCATTGAATTGATTCGGGCGTCCCAACCATATATGATGTAACATTTACTGGCGATTACAGGTGACAATTTCCAAACCTAGATAAAGATTCGGCTTCACGCGACTGTCGTATCGTCGTAGGGCTTATAAATCTGGACTCGTCGTATTATTCATCTACTATTCCCTGCAACATTCGCAAATGCCTCCCCAGGTCCCAGCGACTACGCGATCATACTAATTTCCGACCTTCGGCTCCTACACTAACCTCGCCTTGCAGACTACGCCCCTTCCGGATCTCAATTCCACCGAGCTCAAAGTCCAGACCGTGTCTTTACAGTACCACGACTTGATGATAGCCTCGGGCCACTACCCTATCAACTTAATCGATAATCGCGTCCCAGGTTGCGATATGGCGGGAGAGGTGGTCACGGTCCGGACCGACGTGACGCCCTAGAAGGCTGGCAGCAGAGTTTGTGCCAACCCGGCGATGGAATATTGGGACAGAGACGTCGAGGAAAATACATTGTGGATGGCGCTTGAAGGCGGACGGCACAGCGTGTTAACCCAATACAAAGCTTTCTCAGATCCGGTGAGGACCTGGGTTGTGAGTTATTTTCCTGCCCTTCTCATCGGGAGTTTCAGTGTCTGGTTAGAATTCCAGAGCATTTGTCCTTCGAAGAGGCATCGACGCTTCCTTGTGCTACTCTGACGGCATATAACGCACTCATGGGTCGGAAGCCTGTCAAAGCAGGTGATAAGGCTGCTCTCATCCTTGGAACTGGCGGCGTCTCCATGTACGTCTCTTCTATTTGATGAGCTTACTGAGCTCGAGCATCTGAACTTCCTTCAGCTTTGGTCTGCAGTTGCTGTCACCTCTGATGCTACTGTCATAGTAACGTCCTCTTCTGACGCCAAGTTGGAGATAGCGAAAAGACTTGGTGCTGCCACACGATCAATTATAAAACAACTGCAGACTACGATAACGATGCATTGAGGCTGACGGATGGAAGGGACGTCATGTTAGAACTCGCGATTCATGAGGTAAGTGGACAAAGAACTAATGTTCACGGCAATCGTGCTATGAACTACAGGCTTTTTATACTACGAATATAAAGTAGAATCTACTAGAATAATGGTTAATTTTTTACTAAGAGAACGAGTAAGCGTGCCAGGGAACATGGGCAGATCGAGCCCGAATATCCATGCAAGCTCGAAACCTAAAAAGGAAATCCCTTATGCTAACACACCGATTGGCATGTTTTGGAGGTACACGATCTCCGCTTTCGTCATCTTCTTCTAACAATGACTCTGGGTCGTCCCACAGCTTGGGGGTCCTGGAAGTCTCCAGAAGTCCGTAGTCGCTGCACGCTTTGTGGGGCAAGTTCACATCATGATTGGATTCGTTTCGCAGGATGCCGCTGAGCTGACTAACATTGTTAGGTTATGCATTAGTAAGGGTATCATCCTCCGGCGAGGTGTTCTGATTGGCACTACTGCGCAGTGAGTTGAGGTGTTGTTTATATATGTTTTATTAATTCGTACATATAGGTTTGAATCGATGAATCGTTTGTTGCGGCGTCGTGTTGTTGATAAAGTGTTCTCGTTCGAGGAGGCCATCAATGAGTATGCGTATCTGGAGAACCAGCAGCATGTTGGGAGGGTCGTCATTCATGTCGGTGCTGAATCTACAGTATTTTCTGGACGATTTGCAATAACTTGAAGGATCACCCTCGATTTGACCTCCAGAAACTGCGGTATAGTCCGCTCACATGGTTTATCCGCCTTTCCTACCCTTCGATCATCATCATGTCACCATACTTCTGATTATAAAAACCAGTGGATTAATCATCTGCCTTTCGGTCATCTTTGTCATGTCGCCGTAGTTCCGACTATAAACAACAAGCGAATTAATCGTCTACTTTTCAACCATTTTTGTCACTAACATCCACAATGGCTGCCCAGATACCAACCGCTGCACGCTCATACCACTTTCCCACTCGTGGATCTTACAGAAATCTCGTTCTGCAGACCATGCCCCTTCCGGCCCTCCAGTCCACAAGTGTCCTCGTTAAAGTGCATGCTGTATCTTTGCAGTACCGGGACCTCCTCGTTGCTTCTGGTCAATACGCTTTAAGCAACATACTTGACAACCTTGTGCCATGCTCTGATATGGCAGGAGAAGTCATCGCTATGGGGTCTGAGGTAACGCGCTGGAAAGTAGGAGACCGAGTGTGCGCCAACTTCACGACAGACCACCTAGATGGCGACATCACTAAAGAAATCTTGGATACATCCCTCGGAGGTGGGCAGCATGGTGTATTGACGGAATACAGGGCTTTCCCTGACTACGTGAGGGTTTTGCTGGTCTTGTGTCCTTCGTTGAGCTCACCCGGAGCTTTATTTCGCAGAGTCTGGTCAAAATACCCGAACACCTATCTTACGAGGAGGCCTCGACTTTGCCATGCGCTGCTCTGACCGCATACAATGCCCTTTTAGGTCCAAAGCCAGTCAAAGCGGGCGATACCGTTCTTGTCCTGGGAACTGGGGGCGTATCCATGTGCGTTTGCTCCCCTTCTTCAGTGTTGTCATTTTATTCTTTCACGATGTAGTTTTGGATTACAACTCGCCGTTGCCTCTGGCGCTACTGTCATAGCAACCTCTTCCTCCGACACCAAACTCGCAATTGCGAAGAAACTCGGCGCAGCGCATACCATCAATTACAACACTACGCCGGACTGGGATAAGGAGGTACTTAGGCTCACAAAAGGAAGAGGCGTTGACCATATTTTGGAGGTAGGATCAGTCTCAGCTTCGCTCCAAATACTTTTCTGACTTGGGTTGGGAAGGTTGGAGGTCCGGGTACTCTCGAGAAGTCGCTCGCAGCCGTACGTTACGCAGGATACATCCATATCATTGGATTCGTGGCACAGAACCCTGCCGCGCTTGGTAGCGTCATTGGACCTTGCATCGGCAAGGCCATCATTCTGCGAGGAATTCTGATTGGCTCTGTTGCGCAGTGAGTTACTTCTACCTATAGGCCCTTTTCTATGAACGAAAAATCATCTGTAGATTTGAGGCAATGAACCGACTTCTCCGTGCTCGCCCTGAGGAGACTCGTCCGGTGGTTGACAGGGTTTTCGCATTTGAAGAAGCAATTAATGCGTATGCTTACCTAGAAAGCCAAAGGCACGTTGGAAAAGTGGTCATTCGAGTTAGTAGCGCGTAGGTGTACTTACAATCAGCAGTGTATATTCTATATACTCAACAACCACATCCTTGCTTAAGGCACTATAGCCAAATGTTAAGGCGATAGATTAGAAATCTATTACTCTCTGAGTGCACAGGCTCAAACCCTGCTCCTGTCGATTCCGAAAAGAGTACGTTTGTTTTTGTCTGTGTGTGTATTCATTCTTTGTCCGCACCTTGTTCCACCTACTTTCCTAGTGCAATTAACTGCCTCATATATCACCGCTGCACACCGGAAGGTATGATTTTCACATCATCTTGAACCTTGACCTTAAGGCGTCATTGGAAGATTTTGAGGATTGGCAGCATCTTGGGAAGGGATGGTCATAGAAGGACCTGCTCCCGTAAGTTTGCGCGCAATTCCTTCGACTTTGTCTCGCCTTTTAATCACATTGTAGCTACTTTCATAAGGCTGAAATATTCAACCCGGACCAGCGTTATCCAGATGTGAAGATCACTGACTACGATGTAACTGGGCCTTGGCAAACAGGCCCACAGCACTGTCCCCTTGCTGTACGTCAGTTGTTGACCGCCTTCTAATCAATGCCCAACTTCTGTCCATAGCCTATTCATAAAGTCCTTGTTGAGACGTGCAAGACACTCAACATACCGTTCATCAGGTCTTAATTCCACGTTCTCTTCTTCTAGACAGTAAACTCACAAGTTGTTTAAACAGCGATACTTCCTCAAAGTCTGGGACACTCGGCTCTACGGAGTTCGTTTCAAGTACGGACAAAACTGGAAAACGTGAAGCCATCTTTTTCCCAGGTTATGCTGTGCATGTCTAATAATTTTATAAAGGAAGCTCCTCGGCGACTGCCTATCTCTCGCCTTTCGTCCTCGCAAGACCTAATTTGACAGTGGCTAAACAAGCTATAGTAGAAAAGATTCTATTTGATGCCTCAGTTGCCAATGCTGATGTGCCCCGAGCTATTGGCGTTGAGCTATCCAATAGCCCTGGAGGTCCCCATTTCCGCGTTCCACTGCCTTCACTGAATAGTTTCTGCCTAAAGGAAATGATTTGTGGAGCTGAAAATGTTTCCGCAAAAGGCTTTCCGCCTCACAGAAGCTGTAAAACCACCAAGAGTGATCCGCGAGGGTGTTAACAAGTGCTAGGTGTAACTAACAGGATTTCTGACAAGCACTAGGAGTAACCGATCAGAGATGCTTGCGTCACAGAGCAAAGTGGACATCGAAGAATACTAAATAGTGCAATTGTATTTTCTTTCTTATACTACAGAGTGTTTATATAGTAGAGGCTTTGAGTCATCAATCTTCTACAATTCTCCATAATATTCTGGTGTCTACAAGAAGAAAGGAGAAAGTAAGAGAAAAGTACAAGCGAATCATTGTTAAGACCGAGAAGCCCGAGTACAGGCATGTATTGACTGATGGATCAAGTCGGCAGGTACCCGATATCCATAACAGAATTCTTGGAAATCTCTGACTAGTTTTCTCTGGCTTTGTGCGGACTCACCGAAATTTATTCTTTCAGTGTCACTTACTGGGATCTCCGTCCAGGGAAAATGATCACCCACTCGAACACCAAGTCACCTCAAGGTGTCGTTTTCATCTACTTCACGAAGAATTACGTGAATAGATGGGTAGAAAACAAACACGTCCACAAATATATTTGCAGGCGCTGTCATTACCATACGGACAAAGTAACAAGGTGAGCAAACGAGAATGGGAATCTCCCTCCTGGCATGTCTTTCCCAGTAGGTGACGCCTCTTATTATCTGGAAATTATGATTCGTGTACGAGCATGTATACAAGAATGTGGTGTGGTGTTTTATGTTCAAATTCACTTCGAATTCCGCGCTTTACACAGGCAAGATAGTGAAATTGGAAGTTTCATATCCACATGTCACGAATAAATGGTTGTAGTCATAGTAAAGCGGCTGCATGTTCTTAGCACCCAGCCGGAACGGTGGCATCGTCCACATAGTTCGCTGCAAGCATCCCCAAACCACGGCTCGCGAATGCGTTCCAAAGGATACAAGCATTAGCTCCGTTGTACCGGTTCACGTCGGCCTGGATCCATGCATCCCGGGCTTGCACGACTACGAGTTCTTAGTAAGACGGTATGACACCATGAGACACGAGAGGGCTTACAAGTAGGGTTGCAAGGCTGCAAAGATAAGGCGTCGGTGAAAAGGTGAAGGTAAACTATATTTCCTTCCCCGCCGGTAGCATCATCCATAGCCGTCGATGACCATCCGTAAGTCTGGACCAAAGCGGCGTATACATTATGTAGCATGTTAGCCCACACCTCTCCAATATCTGAGGACATTTGAGTGAGTGCTGACTGGGTCATAAGTATACTCACCGTGAACCTCGCCCAGTTGAGCCAGAGAGGAGTACCGCAGCGGGTTCACATTGGGATTCGTCGAGTAGGGATAGCGGCGGATACCAGCAGGATTGTTTGTTGCCCAAACCCCAATGATATAGTCAGAAATAGTGGCGCTTTTTTGTTCAGTCCACCTGTAGTTGTGGATTAGAATCCGGTAGCTTTCAGAAAAGAAGCAAGCAGTACTCCGCCATTGCATCTGACCATCCTGAAAACCGCATTTTCAATCAATAGTTCCAAACTAGACCCGTTAGTACTCACCTTCTCCTAATCCTCCGGATTCAAGTGTCTGCAAGCACCTAGCCGTTCCGCCCCCAGTCAAACGATTAGTAATACCATGAGTCATTTCATGAACAATTATATCGTTCTGCAAGTCTCCATCACGATCAGGAATTGAATTGATCCAAATGTACATCTGACAGGTCCCAGGCTGACCACTGAAAGTCTTCACATCAGCTCATGACATGCCTGAATTCAATGAAAAACTTACTCAGGAAGAGTTAGGAACTCTGCATTATTGAAATCGCCAGGGTCTTGGACAGACATCTGCACACGATCACCACTTAGTCCCCCATTGGCGAAGTTGTTTTGCTGGAAATTATAAGCGGCCTCGGTCCATCCATACCTGTACATATAGTCGTGGATTTTATTGATGATGTAGAAGGTATTAGTTCGAGCTGCATCGACGTTACCTCCGAGCAGTGGGTCGATCGCCGTGTTATATGGGTAATTGAACGTGTTGGGTGACGATTGTACCGTGGTAGCAGCAAGTATTCCCTTGTAAGAGATGACATTGTTTCCGCTACCAAAAATCAGGGAGATACACTATGAGGATATAAAAATGCTTACGCGGTAACCCCATTCTGCACCCAGCCTTGAGGAGACGAGGTCAAGTCCTCAGGGTTCATGAGGGTTTGCTCTCCTTCCGCGACGGATGCCCTCGTTATTGGTACGACATTATACTAGATCGATTTAGAAGGACGTATAATTGAGGGCGAGTAGGGCATTACCGTGGCCTGGGCAGAAAAATCGGTGACTGCAATTATATCACCTGAATGGGCATCAACAAATGCTTCATAGCCCTTGTTAGCACCTGAATTCAGGACTTGGACTACATGGGCAAGCGCCACCGATCCATCCGCAAGGGCGAAATATTCGAGGGAGTTGATGTCACTGTAGGTAGCAGTGAAAGCGTCTTCAACTTTGCTGATAATCGAATCAAGCTCTACGGTGGGCTGGGAGGAGGCGATGTTCGCTAAGCCGTGTCAGAATATAAAGGAGAGGGTGTCGGCAAAACATATTACTTACATGTATCTACGAACGACGACCCGAGCGAAACAGCTTTGCCGTTCTTGAAAGCAACGTTGGCAACGGCGTTGGCGAAGGGAACGCCGTCCTAATCAATGGAATGAGTGGGGTTGTCAGATCGAGCGGAAAACGAGACGTACATGGTATTGCTTCGCATAGGCGTAGCTCATGTCGTTCTCAGCCGTGTGTCCCGAGTTGTACATGACTGTAGAGGAGTCGACACCGAGCTCCGATGCAATGAAGGAGATTGCGCTGGTCTGTATGTCACTGTTAACGAAAGACGCGACGTCTTTCCCTCCTCCATAAGTCTACAAGACAAATGTGAGTCAATAAGTAGAATAAGACGGTAGCGCCAATTGCCTTGAACGTCGACTCGGGATGATAGGTATCGACTGTCAAGTCGCGCCCAATAGTCCTTCGTCGGTGTGTAGAGTGCTTCGAGGTCATCGGCCAAGGCGTAGCATTTGATACCTTGGCGAGGAGGACTGCAAGAACCACAGAAGAGAGTAACTGTTTTCCAAAGGCGCGCATGGTCAGTCAAGAAAGACGAGGGTATTCCTTGTGAGTAGAATACAAAATTTTGAGGTGGTTTATATAGAAATTACCACTGCACATGCGAAGGGAGAGGAGGCTTCCAGCGCGTTATTGAGTCCGTTGAGGAACACGGAGCTTTGCATACCGTCTTGGACGGCGGACGACACGTAAGGCTGAGAAATTGAACTGGTAAAACTCGGGCGGGGTCAGCAGGAATACCACGAGCTACCATTCTGATCGCTCCAGGAACATCGACGCTGTCAACGCAATCAAATTCCTGATCTTCCAATATCCAAAGATGTGTCGGAAAGGCCTACTCAAAGCGACAGGCCTGGCAGTCACCCACCTAGCATGAAGCAAAATTGTATAGCAGGGTATCAGTCTGAGGTAAGAGCGGTGAAGTTCAGCGATACAATATTAGACACACAGAGAAAAACATACCAAAAGCAGCGAAGAAAAACCTAAAGCAACAGACACCGACACCCGGCGATCGATTTTCTGTTTGTACATACACTGGAATCTTCGCCGGCTGGCGAGTTCATGTTCTGATGAACAAACAGGAAGTAGACCTGTCTGGAAGCTACTCCCGGTTAGAAACCTTCATGCCAAGAACTGTTTCAGAGCTAATGCACCCAATGAGATAGAGTATATATCGGCAGGGAGTGAAAGCCATGCTGCTACTAACGTCAGATTTAAGCGGTGATATCATTTCCATGATTAGCCGTGCTCACATGAACAAAGTTGGCGGGAAATATCACCCGTAGAGGGAGATGTTGGTCGTACTGTGAGGTTCTCCGTGTATCAGGCGTAAGGAACATCCGGCACTACTCGCAATGTACTGGACCGACTTTTGTTCCTTCCCAGCTTCATTATACATCGTCATGTCACTAGTTCCGGAAAGCACTGTTCTTGCATTCCAAGAAATCA